ACTCCAAACATAATATTGCCGACATAGCTCCCTGCAAAAATATCCTCGTAAATATGGCATAAAATTTAATATTGTTGACATAGCTCTTTACAAAATGTCCTTGTCAGTATGAGATAAAACATAAGGTTGTTGACATAGCTCCCTATAAAAATATCCTTGTCAGTATGACATAGCTTCCTAAAGAACACTCTGGTCAGTGTGACATCAAACATAAGATTGTTGACATAGCTCTCAACGATAATATCCTGTTCAGTATGACATCAAATTTAGGCTATTGGTATTAACTCCCTACCATAAATATCTTGGTCAGTCACATTTTCGCATCATACGCCCTCAAGCTTACCACTAAGTGAATATTTCTTTTCTATTTTCACATTACATGTTTATTTCCAGATTACGAACCTCACAAACGTATGTTATTAGTAGTAAAAAAATAGCCATTGACAAAAAAGCTAGCTTGTTATTAATATTATTGTGGAAATCAACAGGCTCCAGACTAGCTGTTCAGTTATAAGACGTTTTTTGTTGCATAATTTTATGTAAGCTGTTGTTGTTTTGAAGTTAAGCACAAAGCTACAGAATGGGCTATCTATACTCTGTCCATAACGATTATCGAAACCCGGTTTGTAGCGTTGTAAGTCCGCAGACATACCGCCGTGCCAATGGGGGGGGGCCCTTTAGGTAAGATCTAGATATCACTCACAACCACTAAAAATTCAAAATACATTTCTCTAAAGAAGTTTTTTTTAGACATTTTGTCAACCAAAGCATTTGTTGTGTATTTTCATTTGCTCACTACAACGAATTTGACCAAAAACAAAAAGAGGTATAGAAAATACAACACACGTTGTGAAGTGAAAACAAGAGTTTTTTTTGTCTTATTCGGAAGTTTATGTTTTTGTTCGTATGCTTCAACTGGACTAGTATTTTGGCTAAAAAAAAAAGAAATCCCTTAAAAATTGCAAAAATCTTATAAATGATTTTGCCGAGATGATTTCAACGGTGTCATCTCTTCATGGATTCTAAGATGAAAAGTGTGAGCTACTGATATCAAAATATAAATACAGGAGAAAGAAAAAAAACATAATATAAAATCATATCACGCATTAACTGCAGAGAAATCGAGCTCCTATTCTATATACTAGCAAATAAATATATATATACCCTTAAGCTGCTGTATACCCTGAACTTTTTCAAATATCTTAAACCTTATCGCAATAACCTGAACGTCGTTGTATATCCTGAACACTGTCATTTACTCTGAAAGTTAAATAACTAAAAATAAGTCACTGAAGGTGTGAAATCATTAAGTAATAGAATGAGTTTCTTTACTTGCAATCCAGTTAATCAAATTTAATCTCAGACCTGGTAAGGCCTAGCGGTTAGGATGTTCGACTCGCAATCTGCAGGTCGCAAAGTCGAATCTCATCATATAACATGTTTGCTCTTTCAGACGTGGGGATGTTATAATGTGATGGCCAATTACACTATTCGTTGGTAAAGATTAGCCAAAGAGTTGGTGGTGGATGATGTTGACTAGCTGCCTTAACCCCTAGTCTAAAATTAGGGACGGTTAGTGTAAATAGTCCAAAAACCAATTCAATCTCCTTATCTAGATAACTAATAAGCTAACCAGCCACCAAAAATGAGCTCTGACAAACACGAGGAGAACAAGGATCATTTAATTAAAAACATAAAACTTTTCGGCTTTACTCTTCTATTTGTGGTGCAATATGAACTTATGTTTATGTAAAATGCTCATATCCTTACTGTACACAACGTAATAACGTATATGTAGTTTGTGTGGAAAGTAAATAAATAAAACTACTTGTACATAACTATTCTGTTAAGCAATAGAAAAAGAAATTTATTCCTTGTAAACGACACTGGAAAATTGAACGAAAACAAAAACAAAACAACGTGAATGTCATTTGTGACTTTCGGCAAAAATAGTGTTGTCTAATTTCCCTGTAAGGGGTCCGAAGGGCACTTCGAGAAGTCACCTGTTTTACCCACTCGCATTACAAATGCAGTAGTGTGTTGTCTGTCAGTCAATCAGTAGCAACTAAAATGACGTAAAATAAGAGGCGCTTAACTTTGCAATTTGTACTGTCGTGACGTCAGTAAAATTTGCTCATGCCGTGGATCACGAGAATAAGAATGCACTATTTAGGCTACAATACACCATGAAACTATCTCATGCCGTGGATCACGAGAATAAGAATGCACTCTTTAGGCTACAATACAGCATGAAACTATGAGCTTCAAAAGCAAGAAATAAAAATATTTGCTATCTTAATTTTGTTTTTATTTTCTTTTGAAACAGGACACTTTCGAGGACCCTGAAGAAGTACATCTAGTATATTTTAACACTGTTTGTTTTCTCGTAAAGGTTGGGTTGAGTAGTGACACTATTAATACGCTATTTGGTGTACAAAAGAAGGTTTATTCTGTTAACCATTGACATTTAAGAATATGCCAAAAAGTTTTGTTTGTTGAGTGAAAGATTCATTGAGTAAGCAAGACATCTAACAAGAGTCTTAAAAAACAATCTAAGATCTTGGTGATTCAGGTCACGTTATTTCAGTAATTTGTATTTGCATTTATAACAAAGCTACTAAGCCTATTCGCTACCATCCCTTATTTTGCAGTTCGAACCAGAGAGAAGGCAGACAGTCAACAGCATTATAAGGGATTGGCTGTCACTCTTATAACGCACCCATAACTTAAAATCGGGCGGAATAGTTTGTGCTATCGCGCGGATTTCAACCCTGCTTGCCAGCTTTCCTAGTGGGCCAGTCTATTTCAGTAATAACAGAATAACGTTGTTTTGTTGTGAGAATGTTTTATTAATTGATCATCGAGCGGGTATTTTTTCGTCATATCAATGTATTGTGTAACAATTTCGTAACATTAAATATTACGTAACTACCTGGTCACGTTTGCGACATGCCACACTAGAAAAGCAAAGTTTTAAAATTATATAGTAAACTGTGTGTAAGAGATGGCTAAAAATTTTAGCGCCACCTGTGTCGTTTGCTAAGAACTTATCTGTAGTGTTTACAAATGATACAACTTGAGTTAGCCGCAAGCTCATTTTTATTAAATCTATAAGTATTCAAACCGACAGTCTAATCGCTCAAAGCCACACAAAGCCGTCCCTGATTTTGAGCTGATAGACTAGAGAAAAGGCAGTTAGTCGAGAGTACTCACCACCAACTCTTGCCCGATTGAATAGTGAGATGTGACAGTATCAGAATACTTTGATGATTTTTAACAAGGAAAAAGCTTGATTTGTGTGATTAGAAACGAAAAAATAATTAATGATTTGTTTTCTAAAATGTATTTGTTGACCACAAAGATTAACCAAACCGTTCTCATAGATTTTTTAATTGCTAACTAGAAAAAAAGAAAATTAATTTTCTATTTTTTTAAATGTGACGGAATAATTTTCATGGCTCTTGGGTGAGCTCTTTATTAATAATTTATAAGCAAGAGAAATGACACAAAAAGGTTTTCTTTATGAACCACTCTACATGATTGGTTTGAGCGACGTCTAGTAGATATTTCCTTAAGAATTAGAGGTGTGGTATTGGTCATAAACAATAAGATCCAAATTTTAAAAGATCTTTCTTTTGCCCAACATACGCCACTCTTCAGGAGGACGATCTTTCAGTATCAGAGTTTAACAGCTAAGCTGTAGCACCTAATCGTCAATATGAAGTGTTTTACGTAAGTGGAACTAAAAAACTCAATGCTATTTTTGATTTGGTTTTAAATCGGTAGGTGGAGCAAGTGAGAGAACTGTTATGTAGAGTATATCCAAGCAAACTTGATGTTCCAAGACATTTGATGAATTTATATTAATTGACATTGGGTATTGAAGTTAATTAATTAGGTTTGTATTTAAATACAATAAGTTAACAGTTTATTTCTTAAATTTAGACTAGCATCGTCAGTTCTCTCTCTCTTTTTTAAACAACTTGCTGATTAGATTCGGTAGAAGTCGTGAATGGCTGAAATTAACTACAAATATACAGTTTGGAAATAAAATGTTTATTGACGTCACAGAAGATTTAAGCTATTCTGGTTTACATATATACAAAACAAAATTCAAACATAACTTCTAGAATTATGTACATTAAACTAAAATCATTACTGTTTAAAGTCAGCTAAAAAAGTTTGGAAATAAACAGTTTTAACTTTGGAATGGTAGCTATCTAATTCTAGCCAACTTATAAAATCATATCCACATCGCTAAATGTAAGGTAAAAAATCTGACATTCGAATTTAACTTGTTTAGTCTTATGAGATTCCTTATTTGGTTAAAAATGTAGATGTTATACTTGAAGCTACGTAGATATAGAGCTTTGGGTTCATGTGTTTCTTTAAAAGGTTACGGAAAATATCATGTCGCAATGTTTACACACGCTCTAGTATGTAGATCTATGTGTCACAGTGTCGTTCATGTAAGCACATTTGAGTAAACTACAACTTCAGCTGATTCTCTAGTCTGGTTTCTCAGTTTTTTCTTCTTTTCGTTTCAGTTTAAGGATGAAATGGAGGTTTTATGTCTTTTCCGTTTCAGTTTAAGGATGAAATGGAGGTTTTATGTATTTTCGTTTCAGTTTAAGGATGACATGGAGGTTTATGTCTTTTCGTTTCAGTTTAAGGATGAAATGGAGGTTTTATGTCTTTATTGTTAAGAAGCTGATGTTCTCTACACTTTATTCTGCAACACCCCAAATTGTGACTTATAAAGCATTATTTATACAATCTGTCTTCTAAATCATCGTTCATGCATTGTGACTGAGTCATTGTCCGTACTTTGCCGTCGGTGTATGTATGTTTGTAATTAAGCACAAAGTTACACAATGGGCTATCTGTGCTCTACCCACCACGAGTATCGAAACCCGGATTCTAGCGTTGTAAGTCCGCAGACATACCACTGAGCCACTGGGGGGCTCCGTCGGTGTATGTTTTCCGTGTTTTTTTTTTTTTCATTCGTGTGTCAATACAGGTGGATAGTGAAGAAAAGCTGTAGTGTCATAAACCGAAGTACAGGCTGGGTAGAAAAGCCCAGGATGGTATGTATCAGGATCATTTTTGACCAGATCCGTATTTTGACAAAATTTTTCGTCTCCCGACGCTTCTTGCAAGTCTTTTATGATATTCCCATCTGAAAAAAATTGTCCATCTAGTGGTTTCTTCGTTCCTTTATAAAATGAAAATTCTGATAGCCTATTATCCACATCACCCGTGAAGCCTTTAACTAGCGTCACGTGACTGGCTAATGCGCTGTTTTCAAATGTTCTGACAGGTCCTTTAAATACTGTCAAATCTGGCAACTTTCCATCTTCAGAGGTAAAGTGAGACGACCTCACAATCGTCATTGCTGGATACATATTTCCATCATCTGTTGACCTCTGGAGACAACTGAAGTCTCGAGTGTCGCCTCGATCGCTGGGCTGAGCATACGATGATGGAGAACTCTGCTGTGATAGGCTAGTTACCAATGGATGAGTAACTATCGGCTCACTGTTGACGAGAGTGTCGTCTGAAGATGGTGATGGGAATGGTCTAGAGGATTCTGGAATTTAAAAAACATAGAGAAATAAATATGTATCTTTTTTTTCTGTGCAGAACTCTGGTATTTACAAATGTAGTCAGTATCAGATATAATATTATTTAAGAAATAACATATTAACATAATTAATTACTCATTATTATATTTAGCAGGAATAACAGTAGTAACATCTATACGCATATTTAATTAACGTTACTAAAAGAAAAGTGTTCCGAAGCATTTTCAAAAGCATTCATGCAAGCTGGATAATTAGTTTCAAAGAGCAACAAGAATCCTTTTATAACGTGAAATCATTCACTTTCTAAAGTTACTTTTTCCGGTGAAAAATCAATGAAAGCTAATGCACGTAATATGTAATAACAGTGAAAATATAAAAATGTTTTTCAATTTTATAAAAGTTCTATTTTAAGCTACCTGAAACGGTAGGGCTCGAGAGAAACATGGGATTAGACAATTCGTATCAATAAGTTTTACTAAGTCCAATGATTGGCAGAGCCTGGTGCTTAGGGCGCGCGAGTCGCGGGATCGAAACCTGTCGCTGAACATGTTTGCCCTTTCAACTGCCGGAGGGAGGCGTTATAATGTGACAGTCACTCCCACTATTCGTTTGTAAAGAGTTGTCCAAAAAGATGGTAGGTGCTGCAAGCCGGTTGGTTTCTCTATAGTTGGCTACTCAAAATATTCCCTGGTGGACAGCAGTAAGTCTGCGGATTTACAACGCTAAAATCATGAGTATTATCCCCCTCGGTGGATACAACAGATAGCCCAATGTGGCTTTGCTATTAAAAAACATACCCACGCTACTCAAAATTAGGCACTGCAACAGATAGTCTTATTAGCTTTATTATATACCAAAACAAGCAAAAAATTAAGCCTAATTCTCATTACGTCCTGTCTTCCAGAAACATGATTTTAAAACCACATTTCTCTGATATTGGGTTCCTTCTTGAGGATAAACAAAGCATAAATACCCTTATTAAAATTTCCCCCTTTAAAAAATAAACAACTTGATCCTGAAAATAACCGGGATTTTTTTTTTACTATTCAAAGTTTCGAAGCCATCTTCCTTCTTTATCAATTTAAGATAACATGACCGGTGCTGCTGAACTGGAATGATGAACATATTTTGTAGTTTTTCCCATTTGTAACAAAGTTTCTGTGTAAGAAATAAATAAATGTAACTATACTTAGTCACATATACATCTGTGTATGTATGTATTTGTAAATACAAGTAAAGCGGCTTCTTAGAAAAACAAAATTTAAAAAAATCGATTGTTTTTCGATATTTTCTTCGATTTACAGAAAAGAAGAATTTTAGCAAGAATTATTCTTTTCTTTATCCGTACAAATGCTTTTGCTGATTTTTGCGCATTATTAAATGTAACATTAAACTTCAAATAGGCTGCAGCAAAAGTATACGTGATACGAAGACGCTGTTTTGTTTCATTGTAGATATCAAATGAACGACTACACCGTGTAATGACTTCGATTAGACGAAAATTACGAACACGAAAACAAGATCCAGTTACTGAATGCTGAAGTTTAACAAACCTTGTTTGGTTCAGGTAACTGTGAAACAAAAACGATGTCTTAGTTGGCCTTCCTTTTCTTCCTTGCTTTGTAGGTGAGCAAAACACTCCTGTGTTTGGGTATAGAAAACATATTTTACGTGGTGATAAATCATTACGGTTTTTAGGCGTAGCTGGAAGTGGAAACGTTCCAACATGTTTACATCCAATGCGTTATTTTACGCTTGCTTCCATTCGACATTAAAACAATTTGAAACAATATGTAAAAGTGAAGTAATGTGAAATGATTTTTTTTATATGTTCTTTACAGAGAACCACGTCCTTCATTTTTATTGTTATATGATTTGTTTATCTTTCTAGGTGTTTATAACCTTCCCCACTGGCTATCTAATTAACTCGTTTAGTCTGTATCTATTTCTCTCTCATCTCTCTCTTATTTTCACTCTATGTTTATTTATTTTTCAACTCTCTCTCCAGCCTGGAATCTATCGCATGTTTGTCTAAAGCCACTAGTTTGCTTTATAGCTGAGATTTGGCAAACAAGTCCAAGGGAAACAGCCTAGAGAAACAACACCGCCAACATACGTGGGTCGCGGTGAGAAATCGTGGGATTAGTTTGGGTAGAACAACAGTGTGAAGGCAGCTGCATGTGTTTCTAATTAACGTTTGTCGTCAGGTGCTGCTCGCCTGCTTACTTGAAAGGTGGTCTCTTGTCAGTCCGGCTGCGATGACCATGGACGGAGGGGGTGAAGCGATATGACCTGGAACGAAATTTGCGGCTTAACGACTCAAAGCGAGCTCACGCCGAGAAGGGTAGTTTTATAGTGAGATGGAACGCCAGGCATCCGAGGGGTCGAGAAACGACTCAGCACTGGCTGTTCCCATCCCACCCACTCCAGATGCTCTCGTGTGTTCCTCTTCATCGTGCGATCTGCACGTGCACTTGAGAAGCGTTTTATTATCTGAATCGTAGCCACTTCATTTTAACTTTATATTCCACTTGATCCTGTAGTCAACATACAGACAGCAGTAAAAAAAAACTACTTTTCTGCTAAGTTGGAATGACGTTGAAACAGAGAATTTGAGTTCATTTCGATCTTTTCCCACTTCTATAATACTGGGCAGACAAAACTAATAAAGTAAAGAGGGGGATTACCTTACGGTTAAATACGCAAGAATTTAATTTGATTCAATTAAATATTTCCACGTGTAAAGTAGATTGTTCACAAATTATAGATTATGTTTGTTCTATTTCCCATGTTGTGATTAACTTAAAGCTTAATAAGTTTGTTGTTTAAACATTCACATTCTTTCTACTTTTGGTATGATATTAAAAAAAAAGTTGTAAAAGCAAACATTTCAACACTAACTGAAGACAAAGTTCCACGCGAAAAAAGGTTGAAATCACATTTTAGTTTATTACATACTTACAATAGAAAATTTAAATTTTATAGTGAAGAATGTTTTAAACACGTGCTTCAACACGTGTCTATCTAGGTTATAAGAGGTAGTTGGGACAAATCTGAATTTTTCGACCAGTTTGACTTATTTTCAGTGCAAAGCTAAGTTTATCTCGGGGAATCGAATCCCGGATTTTAACATTGTCAGTTTGTAGACTTGACACTGACTCACCGGAGAACTTCAGTCAGTATAGTTATAGTTAGGAATATCATTTTCAATGCGGCTGAAAACTATTGTATTTTCAGTTTACTTCATTCACTATTTATGAAACTGTGTTGTCATCTAACTCCCAAGAATCAAACATTATTTTTTAAAAACATTCAAAGTGTTTTTATGGTCGTTGCAGACTTACATAAAAACGTAACAGCAACAGTCTCCCCCTTTTTTTTTAAAGCTACTTAATTTTGTATGCGTTTGAACTAAGCCGTCTATGTTTACAAAATCATTATAATATGATTTTATATTATATCGTGTATTACATAATCTAACATATAATATATCAGCTTTTTTCTTTGTTGATAGTTCAACTCCTTTTGGGCATACGATATACATACATCGTCAATTTCTCTATGTTATCGAATCTGTAAATACAGCCTCCCCAACCACCACTAAAATCAAAACAAAAAATAGTTACTTAGAGACCTCTCCATGGATTATCAATCTATTGGGAATAATTAAAACGTCTTAAAAATACTGAACTTAACCATATTATACAGATAAATCATAAGACTGAAACTTAATCGTCAGGTGGCAGAAATAATTATTCATCATTATAAATTTTATCCATTATAATTTTCTCGGTAGTTGTTACAGTAAAGCAAACAAGATAACATACGGAGTTGAAAATGATATAAAAAAGCATCAATACCATTATCTGAAAACTTGAATTTAATACATTTAAACTTTTTTTGCTATTGGTCCTTATGGCTTGTTCAACTATCAATAGGTGTTTCAATAATTCGTATATAGTTTTATTATAATACTAAATGTTTTTGTTGAATAATACCTAAATGTTTGTTTGTTTGTTTTGGAATTTCGCGCAAAGCTACACGAGGGCTATCTGCGCTAGCCGTCCCTAATTTAGCAGTGTAAGACTAGAGGGAAGGCAGCTGGTCATCACCACCCACTACTCTTGGGCTACTCTTTTACCAACGAATAGTGGGATTGACCGTCACATTATAACGCCCCCACGGCTGAAAGGGCGAGCATGTTTGGTGTGACGGGGATTCGAACCCGCGACCCTCAGATTGTGAGTCGAGCGCCTTATCCACCTGGCCATGAATACCTAAATGAAGCTTCATTATTCTAGAATTACAAATCCCATTTTTAAGACTGGCGGAAGTATCTCCGAAACGTTGACCGATTATGTTTCATCGTGTATATTATCTGCGATTTCCATATAAATAATGTTGGTTAATTTTTATTTCTGAGCCGTAAATATTTACGTAGTTTTCACTATTATTTCCTGACCGACATTTATCTGATGTCCCCAGGTGGAACAGCGGTAAGTTTACAGACATACAACGCTAAAATTCGGGGTCCGATTCCCCAGAAGAAAGCCCAATGTGGCTTTGCTATAAAACAAATAGATATTGATTTAGTTTTCTTTGTTTCTTCCTGACCTATGTTTATTCCATATATATTTAAACGAATGAAGAAAATACAGGTCATAATCTCTATATAAGTTATATATCCAAAACTTTCTAATCTAAAGAAGACTATTTTTGGATTCATGCTGATATCGGCATAAGGCACGTACTTTAAGATGATTGGAACAGATATTTCCTCTTAGTTGCTTTACCTCAATGATCCTCGGTGAGACAGCGGTAAGTCTACAGACTTACAACGCTAAAATCCGGGGTCGAATTCCCCGCGATGGATATAGCAGATGGCTCAATGTGTCTTTGCTCTAAAACAAACACACACACACATTCTACCTCAAACCTAAACATTCTAAAGCTTACTGTAGTTGAAAGAAAAATTCGCTTTGCATTAGACAACAGTTATAAACAA